ATTTTCAAACATTTTTTCCATTGTGAAGTCAAAGGCTTTCATGGCCAGCATCTGTAGTTTTCTGTGGGTTTTTCGGGCTATATGGTTCTGGAAGAATTTATTCCTGACATTTTACCTGCATCTGTGACTGGAATCTTCAGAGGTTGGTGGCATGGAAGTGTGTGGAGTATATATACCTGTGGGACACTTGTTTGGAAGGAAGTGGTTTACATGTTAATGGTGGAAAGATATTTTTCCATACATTAAAGGAGTCTCGGACAGAATTGGGAAACTGATGAGGAAACACAACATCCTCTTCCAACTCTATGATTCTATGATCCAAATGATCTACAGACCATCCAGGAAAATCCAGCAAATGCTGTACTCAGCAAAGGACAAGAGAGACCGTCTCATGGCCATAGGGGTTTACTACATACTGTGCAGCTATGGACATGTCTACATAGGGACCACCAAATGCAGTGTTTAAACACGAATCAAGGAACACAAGAGACATTGCAGACTGGGCCAGTCAGAAAAATCAGCAGTAGCAGAACCTGTTATAAACCAATCAGGGCACAGAATGCTAGTTGAAGATACTGAAATTTTGGACCATGCCAGCAACTGCCAAGTCAGAATGCACAGGGAAGCCATTGAAATCTACAAACACCAGGACAACTTCAACAAGAATGAAGAAACACTGGAAATAAATAAAGTTTGGTTACCAGTCCTGAAAACACCACAATCAAGACTCAACACAAGCAAATGGACATCACCCAGGGTCAGGGGGTTTCCCCACAAACAATGGATTACCAACTAAATAGACACATCCCCCTTGTATATCCCCACACACAACACACCTCCAGGCTGTCCCATTCAAGGCAGTACAACACACAAAGCAACTTCATCATTAACATGTAAACCCCTTCCTTCCAAACAAGGGTACAGATGTATCTACACACCACACACTTCCATGCCATCAACCTCTGAAGATGCCATCCACAGATACAGGTGAAACATCAGGAATAATTTTTTCCAGAATGCAACCACATAGCCTGAAAAAGCCACATAAAATTATTCTTTTCATCCCTACTGCTAATGTCCCACTCTATTTGGCCCTAGATACGCTAGGCAGACTGCTATCTGGGACTATTTAATTCTTCCTGCCTCAGCTTCTCCTCCTTTTAATTAAGGAGATACATTTATTTAATTAGGTACTTCCTAGTGCTGACAGTTTTGATCTCATTTACCCATCAACAAAAAAGGTGCTAAATGATGTCTGTCTCTATATTTAGATGACAATTATCTATTTTCTGGATGAATCAACCCAGGCTCCCTCTTATTAGTAATGAATTATTTTCTTTCCTTCCCTCTCTTCCTCCCAAAGGCAACATGCACTTGGGAATGACACATTGATGTTTGTCTCAAGAATAGGTGTACTTAAATTATATGTCAATGATTTCATCCCAGCAGAACATCTGAGTATTATCAATTTCTTCTTTTCTAAAAAAAAAAAAATGGCACCTAAAATGGCACCTGTCCAACTCTCAATTTGTCCTGATTGATACTAATCAGCAAACATTCTCCAGCAGTTTATTAACATCCTTTATTAACCTTTTTAAAAAGCAATGCCCTCTCTTCCCTTGGGACATTATATTTAGAGCAAAGAGATTTTCCTTGTTATAAAAAAATGCAAGTCAAGGAACAAGGTCTTTAACTCTTGATCTTGCAGTTAAGAATTAGTTTGGAAGAATTTGATAAATAGCTTGCATTGACAACCTAGGATGTAAAGTTAATCATGGTAGAAAGAAAGAAAAATGTTTTTGTTGTTTTTTTAGTGCAGGAATAACTAACTTTTCCACAGTAGAGTTGCTATACCTCTAAAAATGGTGAAAAAGAAATCTTCTGGAAAGTGAATGGTCCTCCCCTCCCTTTGCCCTACCATTAGGCAGAGTAAGGTAGTAGATTTTGAATTTCAAGAAAAAACAGCAAACATTTAGACATTTAATTTATTCTCATTGTGTTTTTACCACCAAGGATACAGAGAGTTGTCTGTAGGATTCTCTACCTCATGAGCCAATATATTTTTTTCTTGCTTTTGGTACCATGTGCCTCAACTTGGTGGGGTATTTGAGCAGCAAAATATTTTGTGCTGTCCCCCTTGTGAGTGGAAAATACATGTGAAGGACTACATGCTGCATCTCAGGATATATGCCCAATATGTGGAGGAAATTTTCTCTCCACTCATCTTTGGTGTGGCTTATTACCTTCTCTTCTTGTGCTGCAGTGTGAGTCACCCTAGTTAAGGACTGCATGAGGAGGAATTTTTCATGTACTAACTGGCTTTTAGGCCAAACCCAATATTTAATTCCCTGAAACTAATACATTTTTCCCATTCTGAGCCATGAGAATTCCCCACAGATATGAACCTCTGTAATAAGACTTACATATTAACTCTATGTTTATCTTCCAAAATAGATCACAAAACAAAGTAAGCAAAATGCAAAATGTGTAAGCAAAATGCAAAAAAGGTGAAGAAAAGTGTGCTGTGACAAAAGGGTGGACTGATTCTACATGAAGGTTAATATTGCATGCATCTTTTTCACCTTCTCCTTATTTTATTTTATTTTATTTTATTTTATTTTATTTTATTTTATTTTATTTTATTTCTATCCCGCCTTCTCCCCAAAAGGAACCTTAAGGACTGCAACATTGTTTAAGGACCACAACACTCTGTTTGTTCCAATCTTCACTTCAAGAATTGCTCCTGAAAGTGAGACAGCCAGTTCACATATCACACAGTTTGAAAACATAGACTGAGACAGCCACACACTCTAATAGGACTGGACTAAACGTTGTGCCAGGTAAAGCAAATCCTTTCTCTGCAAGCACTTCAAAATATTTCCTGAAATTTCTCTCTTTAAGTTTAAACCCTCCAGTATATTCACTTAAGGCATCCCATTTCTCTTCCTCCCTTTTTGCTGGCAAAAGCTATCTTAGAAATTTTACTGTTAATTACTGATGCATCTAGGTATCCTATGTTAGCACCCAATGTATATTTGCTGCCTGAAAGCATCACATTTTGGTAATTAATATTTGCTCAGATATTTATTTAGTTAATTAATGTTGCAAGGAAGGTTAGGAAGATGGGGAAGCCAAAGGTTTTATGATTTCAAACTTTCTGGAAATAATTCATGGGTTAGTAGCTATAGAACAGAAATGGCATGGGTGAAGACTTTCGCATGGCCCCTTTGAGAAATGCAAATGACAAGTTTGGTTTTTAAACAATCAAATCAAAACAGAGAGGTAATTATTTCAAAGGCTGCTTTGCAAAACATACAGAAACTTTTAGAGATCTACACTCCATTTTGTTCACTTCTCTGTTCCACTAAAAGACAAGGAGGTCTTGCTTTCTAAAACAAGGGCATTTATTGTATGACTAGACAGTCCCAAATTGCAGTAGGTAATCTGTCTAGAAGATTACAAGGGCATGATGAACAGTTCTGGTTTATTGGGTGTACAATTAGCACAACAGATGTAATATAATAGAAGACATTCCTGGCTGTGGCTATCATTTAGGTGTTCTGGTGAAAAGCTTGCTCTAGAAGTATCCTAGGACAGTGGACTTGTATTCTACAGTGGGTAGCCTCATCTAAAACAAGTGAATCTCACTCTCCAATCACAATTACATCAGTTAGCCACCAATCACAATTATATTGATTAATTTCAATTTGTTTTATCCATTCAGCAACATGCACCTAGGCATGTTCAAAGAATGTAAACCTGTTTCTGGGTTTGATGAAAAAAATGAAGAATTGGGATGCCCTCACAAATTGATAGAGAAATTAAATTGGTTTGAATATTATCAATTAAAAACACACTATGGAAAGGATAAGGAGAACCAGGGATACAAATTAGAAATAAATATTTTTGATAAAATAGTAAGAGAATATGGAAATCATTGGATAATTAAAATATATAGGCTTCTATTAGACTATGAATTACAAACAGAAATAGTAAAAGGTAATATGATAACTTGGATGCAGAACATAGGAAATCCAATATCACTACAAGAATGGGAAACTATATGGAGAGACATCCAAAAATTTACAAAATGAAATACCTTGAAAGAAAATTTTTTATAAAATCTTCTTTAGGTGGTATATGACCTCTACTAGGTTACACAAAATCCAGGAAAAAACAGGGGAACGGTGCTGGAAATGTAGAGTAGAAAAAGGAACATTTTAATAATAATAAT